TTATTTTAAAAGAGTTCATTCAAACCAGCCTACAGAAGGTTTTCACACACACAACAGAAGATTGACTGAATGACACCCTAGGGAGGGGCTGTGGTTTAGGGGCAGAGCCTCTGCTTGGCAGACAGAAGGTCCCAGGTTCAACCCCTGGATCCTCCAGTTGAATAAGGGTTGTGTAGTAGAAGATGTGAAAGACCTCCACCTGAGACCCTGGACAGCTACTGCTAGTCTGAATAGACAGTACTGACCTCGATGGACCAAAGGTCTGATACAGTATAAGGCAGATTCATGTATGCGTGTGTTCATTTGTGCCAGGATTAGCCCCTCGAATTTGTATTCACTACAAATGGAGCCCGTGTAGGTTGCCTTTCCCACACCACTGAGTAACTAAAGCCCGGATCCATATATTTGTGATCAATACGGAAGAATTCCAGTAAGTTGTGATGGCCTTGGGAGAGAAGGATTGGATTAAACTGATGTTATTAAATGGACTTGCCTGGGATATTTCCGTTCCCACAAAGAAGGGAAGAGATGGGTACCTTGGGAGAGATGGATACCCGGTTATATTGAGTATTTGGCATTTCCTTTATGTGCAAAATTTGTATATTTAGATTTGCTATCTTACGTTTGGTATATGCATTTTGTAATTTATTGGGTAGAATAAAGATATTTTTAGATGATGATGATGATGAAGAAGAAGAAGAATTCCATCTTCAAAGGCATACATGGCTTTGTGGTAGGGTTTAGGGATGCCAGCCCTGGGTTGGGGAATTCCTGGGGATTTGGGGGCACAATGTGGGAAGGGCAAAGTTTGGGGAGGGGAGGGAGCTCAGGAAGGCAGTGTTGGCATACAACCTGTCCTCCAAAAGTTCCCTTTCATCTGAGGAGCCAATCCCTATAGTCTGGAGCGCAGCTGTGATTTCAGATCTCCAGGCCCCACCTGGAAGTTGGCAAGCCTAGTAGGATTAGACAAAATCCAACCATTTATCTTGTTTTGGGCATGAAGCACGGTCCTCTTCTTGGCAGAAAGCAAGGGAGGTCTCCACTGTTTAGGTCTGGCAGAGGGCAAGCCCCCCACCTACCCAATGATAGGAATTTATTCATTTGTTTGCATACATATCCCGTTTTTCTCCCTGATACGAACTTGAAACATCTTACAACATAATCCCCCCTCCTATTTTTATCCTCACAACAACCCTGTGAGGTAGGTTAGCCTTAGAGAGAGCGACTGGCCCAAGGTCACTCAGTGAGTGAGCTTCCAGGGCAAAGTGTCGATTTGAACCCGGCTCTCCTAGATCCTCGTCCGACCACTAACCACCATACAACACCGGCTGACAGAGCCTCTCACCCCCTTCTCCTTCGCCACTCTGATTCGAAGCGGTGGTGGAAAGGGCTGTCAAATAACAGCTGACTCAACGGGGTTTTCAAGTCAAGAGACTGCCGGAGATGGTTTGCCGTTGCCTGCCTCAGAGTCACACCCCTGGTATTCCTTGGGAGGCCTCCCATCCACAGAATCACAGAGCTGGAAGGGGCCCCATCTAGTCCAACCCCCCTGCTCAGTGCAGGATCAGCCGAGAGCATCCCTGACAAGGAGGAGGAGGAGGAGATTGGATTTATACCCCGCCATTCACTACCCAAAGGTGTCTCAGAGCGGCTTACAAACTCCTTTCCCTTCCCCTCCCCACAACAGACACCCTGTGAGGTAGGTGGGGCTGAGAGAGCGCTTGACAGAAACGGCTCTTTTCCAAGAACAGCTCTTATCAGAGCTACGGCTTGCCCCAGGTCATCCAGCCAGGTGCAAGTGGAGGAGTGGGGAATCAAACCCAGTTCTCCCAGATTAGAGTCCGCACACAAACTGGCTACACCAAACTGGACTACACCAAGTGTTTGTCCAGCCGCTGCTTGAAGACTGCCAGTGAGGAGGAGCTCACCGTCTCCCTAGGCAGCTAATTCCACTGTTGCACAACTCTGACTGTAACAAAGTTTTTCCTAATATCCAGCCTTAATTTAAACCCATTATTATGAGTCCTCTCCTCTGCTGCCCGCAGGAACAGCTCCCGGCCCTCACCCCACCCCACCCCGCCATATACTAGCCAGGGCCGTTCCTGCTCAGCTTCCAAGATCTGATGAGATCCGGCTAGCCTGAGCTATCCACGTGAGGGCCCGATGCAAAGAAGAGACAGTTTTAAAAGAGCATGGATTCAAAACAGCAGTCATTTGCCTGCCTTTCAGCCCCAACATTTGGCTTCTGGTTTAGCGGAGCACACACAAATACATGTGTGTATACACTCACACGTCTATTTGCACAGCTATGTTTGCTAAACTGCTCACCCTCTCCCACCCATCGAGGGGAGTAAGCATTTTTTTTTAAAAAAAAGATAGGTTAGTTAAACTCAAGCATCCCGAGATGCCAAGGAACAGTGGTGAGAAAAGAACTGGCAGGCAGGCTCTGGAGGGTACAGAGCGATGCTTTCATTATTGTTTTAAAATCTATCTGCCCCACCCTACTTCCGAGGGAAAATGGCCTAAGCCCGTTTACGGAATATATGCAAACATAAAAGCAACAGGACGCGACAGAGCATCTACCCAAATGAGCCTACAGCCTGCCAATAGGAAAGGCCCACAGTTCCATCACAATTCTAGAGGATTTTGTTTTAGAAAATCTCTGAAAGAAGGGGAGAGGAATCAGAAGAGAGGGCCATCGATCCCAGCATCCTCTTTGCCACAGTGGCCAGACCAAGGGTTACCCAGGGCTTTTTTTGTAGAAAAAGTCCAGCAGGAACTCATTAGCATAATAGGCCACACCCAGCAGCAGAAACACATTAGCATATTAGGCCACACCCCTGACAGCACAGCTCATTAGCATATTAGGCCGCATTCCCATGTTACCAGAAGTGTGGTCATCCAGTCACACCCACCTTTTGCTTCTTATTCTGTTTACCTTGTTTGTTGTCAAAACGCAGTGTTTTTTTGTTGCAGGAACTCCTTTGCATGTTAGGCCACACACCCTGCTGTTGGGTGTGGCCTATTATGCTAATGAGTTCCTGCTGGGTGTGGCCAACTCAGGAGCCAGCCGCAACTCTGTTCCTGTGCGTTCCTGCCCAAAAATAGCCCTGGTTACCAAACCTCAAATTGTGACCTGGAATTCTCCCAGATTTATACTCGGTCGGTCTCCAGGCTTCCCATGGAGGAAATGGCAGCATCAGAGGGCGGAACCCTGTGGCATCACATTTCCAATGAGCTTCCTGCCCTTCCTAGGGATCACCTGGAGTTGCCAAGCTCCACGTGAGTCCTGGAGATTTCCCAGAATTACAACTGATCTCCAGACTTCAGAGATAGTTCCCCTGGAGAAAATGGATGCTTTGGAGGGTAGACTGTATGGTATTATATCCTGCTGGGGTTCCTCGCCTTCCCCAGGTTCCACCCCGAAATCTCCAGGAATTTCCTGACCTAGAGTTGGCAACCCTAGCACCCCCACCACCATATCTCCAAGAATTTCCCAAGCCAAAATTCGCAACTCCAGCTAGGCCAGCCAGTTATCCATTCCCCTCCCTTATGGAAAAGTCATTTCCCTTTCATTTTGATTGAATCATATTGCATGGATTAAAAGTAAAGGTAAAGGTTCCCTTGCTTGAAAGCCAGTCGAATCCGACTCTAGGGTTGCGGTGCTCATCTCCGTTTCAAAGCCGAAGAGCCAGCGCTGTCCGAAGAACCCTAGCACCCCCACCACCATATCACCAAGAATTTCCCAAGCCAGAATTCGCAACTCCAGCTAGGCCAGCCAGTTATCCATTTCCCTCCCTTATGGAAAAAAAAATTCCCTTTCATTTCAGTTGAATCATATTGCATGGATTGGGGGCAGTCTATTACAAATAGATATAAAGAAGGTGGTTTCCTGTCCCTTCAGCTTAGCCCGTTTTCTAGGGTTGCCAGCACTGGGTTGGAAAATGCCTGGAGATATTGGGGGTGGAGCCTGGGGAGGGCAGGGTTTGGGGAGGGTCCTCTGCAGGTATAGGGCCATAGAGTCCACCCTCCAAAGCAACCATTTTCTCCAGGGGAACTGTTATGTATTGGGACTAAAACATTCCAGGACTGTTCTACCAGAGACGGGCTGAGCATGGAGCCCAAGAACAATAGCCCACCAGGACTCTGGAAGTAACCAGTCAAGAAGTAGTGTTATGTAAATAGCCTATCGTTGGGAGTGGGGTGTGTTTGGGTGTGGCAGTTGCGTGCTATTTAAACAGGGCTGTCTTTTTCCTGC